CTGCAAGTTCTGCCACAGCGTGCCCGAGCTGGCGCAGCTGGCGATGAGGCGGGAGGGACGGACGCGCGGCGGGGAGTTGTGCGCCACCAAACCCACCCCCTTTAAGCCGTAGGCGTTCATCCTCCTCGTTTTTGTTTTCCTCCTTCCCCCCTTCCGCTTCGCCCCCCCTCCCTCAAAGACTGGTGACATCTGCGAACGGTGGCATATGTCCTTCGACGTGCTCTCGGCGCAGACCATAGCATCAGCCTAATCCTGCTGCTAAACGCTCCTCTTGCTCCTGCTCACGCTCCTCCTCCTCCTCCTCCTCCTCCTCCTGCTCCTCCTCCTCCTGCTCCTCCTCCTCCTCCCCGCTCCCACTCAAGGCATGTGCCTGCAGTCCATCACGGTAGGGACTGGCGGGATGACCAAGTTGGGCTTTGTTGGAGCGAAGTGCCACAGCGATCAGCAGGAGAGTTGAGCCTGGTCAAATGGTGACTTCTTTGCGAAGTCTCAGGCGCAGCGGGGGTGAAAACTCGACTTCCTCACGTATGGTTCTGCCGCACAACAGCAGACCAGTGCAAAGGTGAGAATTCATGAGCGTTCGTCGTAAAGGTCTGGGCTGAGGCCCTACTATGCAACTTCAGACACTGACCCTGGCCAAATCGAGCTCCACCCGTTCCCTTCTGTACCAGGTGCCGGGGTCAGGCTTTCGAAATTCTGACTCCAAACGCCAACCCGCGGCTTGGATCCCCGCTCGTGGGAGACCGGCCGAAAGCTCTTCTTCGGCCCGCTCTAGAGGCCTCCAAGATGGGGTCCGAGTAGATTGGGTCGGAGGATCGCGCTGCATCGCCGTTTCATCGGCGATGTATCGGCGACCTCGGCGATGCATCGGCGCCGTCAACGTGGAGAAAATCGGGTTCCACGTAGAGCTGCATCGCCGATGCATCCGCAATGCATCACAGATGCGGCGCGATCCTCCGACTCCATCTACTCCGACCCCATCTGGGAAGCCAAGACTGCCTAGACTCTGTGTCTCTCTCTCTCTCTCTGCGCCCTGCCCCCTCCGCAATGGGCATGATGGAGCTGCCTTGGTCGCGGATCCCCGCCCGCACGATCGGGCGGCCACGATCGAACTCACAGCCAACGTCGGCCAGCGCCATCCGGGAGACGACCGGGCGTCGGGAACACCACTGGCGCTCAGGCCATACACGGGGTCGGTCGGGAACTTTTACTTGGCGTGTCGCGGCGGCGGCCCGGGAAATTGACGTTGACGCTGACGCTTGGGGACCAGGAAATGGATAGTGTGGCGCGCCGAAGCGTGGTGGGCCAGGACCTGCGGAACGACACGCTGTCCAGGAGTTCCCGGACGTAAGAGCTATGCATAGAGGCCCGAATTCGCTGGCAATAGCCCGCCCCGACCGTCAGTCCACGGCATCGGCCACCCTGGCGGCAACCTCCCGTAGAAGGGTTGCACGCTGACAACAGCAATAGACACGCGATTTCCACTACTCGCAAATGTAACTACTCGCAAATGCCACTGGATTCGCCGCGGGGGATTTACGACCCACTGCATCGAGGCAAACATGTGTTCTTTTCCGGACGTTTGCGAGTAGGCACTCTGCGAGAGGTGGAACGCGCTCGGTGAACCAAAGTCAGGGATCGCCTACATCAGGGGAGGCGAGCCCGTCGATGCTGGTAGCAACATTTAGGAGTGCCAGGTATCACCACCACCCAGATTTGAGGTCGTCTTCTCGGAGATCCAGATAAGCGCCGCGCTTCTCCGCACCACGTGCAGCCCTGGCATCTTCGGCGAGGCGACCACGTCAGACGCGCTCGCGGAGAAGCCATCGTACTCGTCCTGCGGCCCCGCCCTTCGTTGCTGGCTCCCCGTGATGCACGGGGTTCGTCAGAGGTTTCCCGGAGGGCGCAGTGTCAGAGAATGCGCGAGCCACCGCTGTGGCCGCAGCGGGGTGAACGATGCGTGCGCCTAATTGAAGAATGAAAATCGATGAGCGTAGTTTGGTTTCGCCTATGAGGCACGAAGAATGCGAGGGTGACGAACGAGGCAGGGTGAGAGAGTTAGCGCACCGACAATGGGGCCATAGCTGGGGTTCGCCATTGCGCACGAAGGGGGCGATGGGTGTGCAGAATGGGGCGGGGAGAAAACTTGGACGCACCAACGGTGGAACCGTAGCTGGAGCTCCATGTGGGGTAAGAAGCGCGCGAAAGGGATGGTGCGCCGAGCCGAGCAGAGTGAACGAACGCGCGATCCTCCGCTGGGGCCGTACGTACGAATTTCCGCACTCGTGCACTGGCGCCGGGACTGCGCATTCTGCCATACCACCCGTCGCTGCTCGGCCGCCACCTCTTCCATGGTAAACTATTTTCCTTTCGGGTGGCGATGCTGCGATGCAAATTGTGCGGACGGTCTCTTCTGAAATGGCCCAGACAGCAAGTAGTTTCTGGCAAGGTTACGCTTGCGATCCAACACTCAGCTCAGCACAGCTGCTGGACGAGTTCCCGGCGGCCCTGGGTGTTCTAGAAAGCATTCTGGGTGACGACAAGGGCTGGAACCCCTTCATGGATGTGAACTTACAGCAAAAACAAATGGATAGTTCGAGGCTGCTGTTAGGGCAAGTTTGCTGAGCAGTCCAGAAGAAGGTCAACAGAGGAAAACCCACGTGCCAGGACTTCCCACTGGTGAGTCAATCCACAAACTGGACCTGGACCGTACGTGGAGGAGGCATGCAATCTCATTCCGTCGTAACGCTTCTCTTAAACAGAGCGCCTACCGGAGCCCCGCGGAACCCATACTCCAAGCAACTACGAGAAACCGCTCGAGCGATTCGCTCCAGACCGTTGCAATTCAAACCCGAACACGCGTACGCATGCACTAGCATACCCTCCTCGCCCTCCTCTGCCCCCTCAATTCCAAGGGATGGACACAGAGAGGGACAATGATAAATGATAACAACCCTGCCCCGCCGGATGCAGGGTGTCCATGTGCAGGCTTGCCCAATCGTCAAACCTGGCAGCTAGAACAGACAGCGAAGTTGAAAGGTATCCGAACATGCGCAAATACTATTCACTGCCCACTCCGTGCCACGAGGTAAGAGTGGAGGGATGGCAACAGACAGCCTGCCAACAATCGCCCTTGCCATAAGTGCCTGCATTTGAGTAGAACCCTCGGACAACGTGTGCTGCCGCCCGAGTCGGAACGACGGTTGTCCGCTGGCGCAGACCCACGTCATGTCAGAGGTGGATTGGCCACTTCTCGTCGGCGAGCCCAGGAGGAAGTGAGTGAGGGCAGGCCTCCTGAGAAGGCGGCGGGGCTTCTCAGAACCTCTCGTGCCTTCTAAGAAGCCGTCAGCGTCTGCGCAACAGCCTTGAAAGCTCCTCAGCGGGCGCGAGGGCCTTTTTGGAAGCCCCGCCACCCTCTGAGAAGACATGCCCCTCTCACACCCCCTCTGGGCTCGCCGCCGAACTTCGGGGCGACAACGATCGCTACGCTAGGCATGCCCGCGGCGCCTGGTCGAGCAGAGGCTCGGGTGGAAGCTCGGACGGAAGCTCAGGGAAGCCGCGGGGGTCCAGGACCCGCCGAGGGTCCGAGAAGGCAGCGATGTGCCCAAGGTGAACAGGAAACGTAAATGCGCCAAAGCACGGCGCGAACGGCGGGCTGTTTAATTTGGAGCGTCCGGCACCGGAGCAATTCTTTACTCCTGCCCGCGTACGCGAGATCCTCGGTTATCAGTTCGATGAGGCGCGCACGACATGTAAGGATACGCGGGGAGGGGGACGCAAGCGTTCGTTCATTACACCTGCAATATTTGCGTTCGATGTGCAGAACAGGCTGGTCATGTACAGGGACTCGTGCTCTTCGTCAGGGTTGTCATAATTGTTCCTCGCTTGCGTTCTCTGTTTGGTCCCGACTGTGAGCGCAGGCGGGTAGGACCTGGATGAGCACGGGGCTCATGGTATCGGGGTAGCGCGACGGAGCGCCAAACATATAAAAGCAATAACAACACACGGGGTATGACACAGTAAAAAAAGAAACAAAAGCACGAAAAGAAAAAAGAAAAAAAAGAGACAATGAGAGAAAAAAATAGAAAAACACAAAAAGTCTAAAAAATAGAAAAATGCACAAGATTAAAACCAAAAGATGCAAAAAAAACAAAGAGAAGAATAAAAACAAAAAAAACAAAACAAAAACGTAAAGAAAAAATAAAAAAAACAAAGACACACGGGGTATGACAGCTAAACCCGCAGCTCGTGTGCATACTGACCTGGCACGTGCGCGCATCATTACGCATGGTGCTGTGAATTTCGCGCGCCTGGTGCCAACATACAACGGGAATCAAACGATCGGCGGAGATAACATCCTGCTCTCAACTGTCGTCGTGGTGGCCACCTCCGTGGAACAACTGGTTCCCGGCGAGCCGTCACCCGCCATACTCGTCGATTGCGTGCTGTTGGTCCGGCGCGCGCCGTCGAGGCCGCGACTTACCGTATTGAGCAGGGACCGACCGTCCCGGTATTCCTATCAGCCTACCACGAAATGTTCTTAGAACCCAAGAATGTTCCAAACCAATGTTCTTATAACATAGGTCCGATGTGTTAAAACAGGGCGGACCCAGCCAGAAATGTTCTAAGAACATTTCGTGCAAACCACAAAAAGGGTTCTTAGAACATTATTTGGTGGGCCTATAGGCGAGCCAGGACGCTTCGCCACTGCTTGATCGTACTCACTACCTGCTGGAACGCCATGCTCGTGACGCTGGCCTTTACGAATTTGATCTCCCCCTCGTCACCACGGCTCATGCGGTGCCTGCCAGAAACCACGCTGTGCGACCCTGACCTACTAGTTCAGCCCGCGCTGTAAACATGTCTGGACGGGGGGCAAGATCATTGACTGAACCCTCGCCGGGCTGCCAAGCGTTGAACATCGAGCGAGGCCAACGCATAGCAGCGCATCGTGCTGCCTCGACTCAAACTGCACGCTCGTCGCTCGTGAAGTTGCTGCACCTGGAACTGGCGGTCTGCTGCTTTGCTGACCGCTGCGCGCCATTATTTTGCAAACCCCGCCACAACTCCAAGCCGTCGCCGCGCAATTGCACCGCATTCTCGGTCAACAGCACCTTGGGACCGCGGAGCCGCCTGCCTGCTGCACTCTGGGCGCAGGGTGACCTACTGCCTGTCATCGTGCTCGAGTCCAACGCTTCAAATCCTTCCTGGAAGCCTGCACGGTATCAACTTCCCCCTGACTCGAGGCTCTGGGCAACCCAGCGATGGACGCGCGATCGTTCTGGTCAGGGGACGTGGTCGTGGAGGCCAAAGTGGGGAGCTGCAGCTTCGCGCCACAACTGTTGCCGCTCCTGCTGCTACCCCTGCCTCGCTGCTGGTCCTACGCACCCGCGGAAGACCAGGCAGAACGGCTGCTCTCCACCAGGCCGATGCCAAGACGTATCTGCCATGCTAATATCCGTCGTGCCGCCGCTCGTGGCCAGCACTCCGGTGCCCGCCCGCCATGCTGCCACCTGGCGCGCTAGTCGCGAGGCGCCCGGCACGCCGCTCGCCACTTCGCGGAGGTCAAGCTGCGGCTTTGCGTCGTGCTGCATCTCGCGCCCGTGCTCAAGCCATCTGCTGCGACGCCAATCCCAGTAGCTGCTCATCTTCGCCGTGCCACTGATGGCAATTGTCTGTCGTGCTGGATCATATCATGATGCCACTGGTAACTGCCCAACCGTGCCGTGCTCGCACCCGTAATGCCTCTGATGTCGCACGACCAGGCTAGCGCGAACAGCCTGGCACGCCCAACAGCAAAAGACTAAAGCTGCTGCTCGCCGTCGTGTTGTAGATGATGTCTGTCCTTCTACCTGCCGCACTGTCTGGACCCAGACACGGAAGTCCGACCAGAGCAGCTGCCCACCGACTGTCATGCCAGTACCCACCAGGCGTTTACTGGTGCCTGGCGTGCTGGTACCAATCATTCTGCTCGGCATCGTAGCTGTCAATATGTCGCGAGTCACCCCAACAAACCCGTGGAGATCAAGAATGTGAAACCGACGTTGTCCGTCGTGCAGCACTGGCCCCGTCCTGTTGCCACCTCCCATGCTGCTGGTTCTCTGCAATGCGGCTACTGGCACCTGTAGGCCACGGTGCTCCTGGCTTGACGGTGCATGCCATGCTGGTCGACTCCGTGGCTGTCGCCCCCCCCCCCCAAGGTCAAGGTGGAGTTGCTGCAATGCGTGCTGCTGTGTACAGTCTGAGCTGCGTCTACGTCGACGCACACATAATGCAACGCGCATAAGATCAAGGGCTCATCATGCAGCAAATCCTGCACGGCAAGATATACATGACGTTTGGTGCACAACTATTGGCACAACCGCTTACTGCGGTAAGATACGTCATGCGTGGTGAACTGCGCTTTGAATATCGCGTGCATGCAATTCGCGCCGTCAAGTAGAGACGGATACAAACGCTGCAACGAACATGGCGCACTATGCGAACTCACTCGCCGTACACCGCGTGTCCGTGTTCGATCCCATCCTCATACGTGGGTTGTTGTCTTCTCTGCACGTCCCCGAGCAGGAACCTCACTCATCCACCCCTTTCACACTCATCATCTTCATCATGACCGCATCACTCGTCATTATCATCATCATCGTTCTTTCGTTCGGACTGCCGCTGGGCCTACCAAGCGCGTGAGAAGGGTGTTCTGAAGTTGCTGGCATGGCACCACGACGAGCTCATAGCGACCCCAGGGGGCCTTCGACTGGATCTAGTGACATGTCTGTGCCTTCACAACTGCTCAACGAGGTTGTATCCCCTGGCTGGGAATACGGAATGTGATGGGAATGATCGACCGCATCATCATCACGGCCCGTGATCATCATTCATACACTCGTCATTTCAGCTCGCGCACTCAGTCATGCAATCATACAGTCATCACTAAACACACATGAAGGTCTCGAAAAGGAACCTCATCTGTAGCTGACTTGTGAGGGAGTCTCAAGCGAGAGCCCCTCTTTAGAGGCTCACCAGAACATGTTACTAATCCGAAAGGGGGCATTCGAAACCTCTAGCTATCGAGATGGTAGCGCTCCTGCGGACTGACTTATCGAAGACAATGTCGAGCGATAGCCTCATGTGCGAGCGCATTGCGAGGAAATCTCGAGCGGAGGCCCAACCCCCTTGGTCTCCCATGCTACCACCCAAGCGGGGTCGTCAAAAACCTGCAACCGCCGTTAAGTGTTGGATCCTGGAGATCGGCGTTGGTAAAAGTATCGAGCGGGATCCTCATTTGTGAGCGCATTGCGAGGAAGTCTCACGCGGAAACCCTCTCCCTGTAGGCCGTCCCCAGATCATGTTACCGATCCGAGGGGGTCATCCAACAGGGTCATCCAACACTTGTAGTAGTTAGTCGTCGCGCCACTGAGGACTGCATCTGAAAGAAATCCCACCAGCCCTCTGGGCGTCGGTGGTTTAGGGCGTTTCCTCTTCCACCCCTCCCTCTTCCCCTTCGGGGAGGGGTTTACCCCTCCCCCTACCCCCTCCCCACTGACCTGGACAGGAGGGGCGGGGAGCGGTCAGAGCGTCCAAAACAGCCACGGCGAGGAAGCCAACATCATTGATTTTAGCAAGGTTTTGGCCCCATTTTGGCCTCCTGGGGGGGCACCGCTAATCAAAGCTCAGCTCTTCTTTGATAGATCTCCTCCAAGATGGCACAAAGAAGCGCCCAGGAGGCCCCAAGAGGTCCTAAGATGGCCCCAAGATGGCCCCAAGAGGCCCCCAAGAGGCCCCCAGAAGGCCCCTTAGAAGACCCTCAGAGGCCCCAAGAGGCCCACCCCCCGAGGCACCCAAGACCCCGAAGAGCCCCCCAGGATCGCCAAGAGACCCCCAAGACGTCCCAAGAGGCCCCCAAGAATCGCCCAAGAGATACTCCAAGAGGCTCCTAGAGGCATCCAAGAGACCTCTGGCCCGTGTGCTTGCCCTCCTCCTCCTCCTCCTCCTCCTGTTCCTCCTTCCTGCTCCTACTCCTTCTCTTCCTCCTCCTCCTCCTCCTCCTCCTCCTCCGCCTCCTCCTCATCCTATTCATCCTCCGTCTTCCCACTCCCGCATCCATCCATCCATCCACCTCCTCCTTCTCCTCCTCACTCCTTTGCACGGTTCGGCCGTCCTCCTCTTTGCTGCCGCACTTCCCTGATCACCTCAACTCGCCTGGACATCGTTTCGGGATGGGCTGGTGGGGATAAGCGAAGCGTCTAGAATTTCGAACGCGACTTTCATGTGTAATTACATTGCGAGGATGTCTCGAGCGGGAGCCCTCTCGCCAAGGGCCCGTTAGATCATGTTACCGACCCGAGGGGGTCATCCCAAACCTGCAACCGTCGTCACCCATGGGACCCTGAGGAAAGAATCTGGAGGAAATCTCTAATTGGAACCTCGTATGTTAATGGTGGTGGGCGATACAACAACTACACCACCTCTGCCCCGGGGGGTCGCCTTCGTATTGTGTAGGATATACAAACAATCTCTGGGGGGCGAAAGTGTGGTTTAAATCGTCCTCTCCTCGCAAGCGGAGGAGTAGGAAGGAGAAGGGGTTGAGTCCACCGGGTGGAGGAAGGGGAGCAGAGGGACCGGCGAAAACCCAAGACTCATCCACGAGATTGGAATACACCTTCCCTCAAGTTCCCTTCGCATGAGCCCCTGTAAAGGTTCATTTTCAGTGAGGGAAGTGCCCCATTGGAAAACAACCGTTTGAAAGTCCAGAACTGTGCCAGAATATCACTCCGGGAACTTGGGCGCCGCGAGCCACCGGTCTTGACGTCCCTGAATCTTGCCCGAACACCGTTCCTGGGACTTCAACACCGCGAATCAACGTGACCGTTGCGCCCTGCCATCCCGACATCGTTCCATAACATACCTTCTGGTACGTTAACCATGAGAACCCTTCGAACTGCTGCAAACTCTTAAGACGGATGCGCGCAACGCTAAGACAAAGGGGCCACCCTCCATCCGCGAAGCTCTTCCAAACTTTAGAATCTAACGTGCACGGCGCTACGGCGAGAATCACATTTTGAAAACGGGCCGCCCTCCATCCGTGAAGCTGTTGCAAACTTGAACTTCAGGAGAACAAATACTGAGGAGGTCTCAGGCGACATGCCTGTCCCGCCTTTTCGACTGGCCTCGGGGTGCGACAGGGAGTGGGGAGGGGCAGCGAGCGACGGAGCACCTCCTGGCCTCCCCTGGCCTTCGGACTGCCAGCCCTAGGGCCTCCCTTGGCCTCCCAGACGCCCCCTCTGCCGACCCGAACGGTCCGCCCTCTGTGAGCCGAGGTCCTTGGCTCGGTAGATGGGGGCCACGGGGCCGGCGAAACTATTTGTCTGATCGTCCCCCAAGAAAAAATCGGTCCGTCATCGTCTCCCACCATTATTGGACTAAAAGCGAAGGGTCTCCTTAACGGCAAGGGGATCTCGAGCCGGAGCCCCTTCCTGCAGGGCTCCCCCGATCAGGTCACCAATCCCGCGGGGCAATCCGAACCCCGTAACTGTCGTTAGGCTTCGGCTTGTGTGAACTGACTTTGGAGAACGTCTCGAGAGGGAGCCCCCTATTGGGCCCCCTGATCATGTTACAAATTCAACACACTCATCCGAAACCTGTAACACTTGTCACTTCTGAGCTGTTGTCACGTTGGGGCTCTCGAAGCTTGTATTTTGAGAAGTCTGGAGCGGGAACCTCCCGAATCATAGGAGGAGCTAGCCGGAGGACGAGGCAAATGCGAAGACGTAGGAGAAGAAAGATGCGTACGTAAGGGCCGGGGGACAACCGAGGACTAGGGATAACTGGGAGGAAAAGTGCAGAGAGCCAAAGCAGGGACGCCCGCGAACGAGCAAGCACACGAAAGGTGCGCACGCGCAAACACGTCCAATAAACATGCACATGTTTTGGAGGCGGCCCCGGGTCTGAGCTGCTTGGACCCCGAGAGAGTCGGTCAAGAAAGGGGGATACGGTCAAATCCGATCAAAATCGACCCCCGGATCCCTCCCGGGTTTCAACTGCTGCTGATATTCACCTCTGATCCGTCTTTGGCGGTCCCCGGACCCGAAAACGGCCTCCAGATACCAAACCATACAAAATACCTTCTCGAACCCAGATCCTCGAACCCCCGCCCCGCCCTTCCTGATGGCCAGAACTAGTGCTGGGCAACCTCAGACCCCCAGACGGCTCCAACACGCGCTGTGTCCACGCGCGCATAGCACGAAGGATGAAAGTACGAGAGGCGCACCGACCTCCTGCATGGACAGAAGCGCCGTGATGTATCGGAGGGCGTCGCAGAACACCGGCTCGCGTCGGAGGCCGACAGCTCGGGACATGCCTTCCACTGCAAATGCTGGCGACAAACAAGACAACGAGCTCTCGAAAGAAGAGAAGGACACATGATACTTCTCACGAATCTGAATAAAAAACGAACTAAAAAATGCGTTCCGAGTTCGGTTTGATTTCCTTTGCCCTCGTTATGTTTTCTTTCCGCCTTTGCTGCAAAACGGAAACGGTCCTCGAAATCGCCCAAACACCGCTTAGAACGCGCTCTGAGTCAAGCACTCATCTGCAGACCCCCACCAGGTCGGGACACTCGGGGCGCAAGCGTGTGATCGGCCTCTGGCTCGCGCCTTTGGCTCTGATGGGGCGCTCGCTGTCACATGCGGGGGCTTCGCAAGTCCCATCGACTCATGCCCCTCACTCTTCTATCCCCACTGCTTCCAACCTCCTCCTCCTCCTCCTCCTCCTTTACCTACCTTCTTCCCCTAAGGATCCTCGGCGATCCATCGAAAGGCCACCTGAGGTGGCAGCGCCACATCTGGCGATCGCGTCCTTGGACCCCCGCAAGATGGACGACACCGAAACATGATGCCGAGGGTGGCGCAAAGCTCGGTAGGGGATCCGGGATACCCGTTGAGGGGGAATGGTCCCCCCCATCATCCACAAGACACTTATTATCGTCGCCAGGCTGGGGGGGGAGAAGCATGGCGAAGGATGGGATTGATGCGCAGCGTCGAACCACCCCGATCCGTTCCGTTTCCACACTGGGAAACGGGGCTTGTGATGCGGCGCGGAGGGTAGGCGGGTGGGTGGAGGAGGAGAGCGCAAGGGGAAGGGGAGGGAGGAAAGCCACCCGAGGCGGGGAGAGGGAAGGCCCCCAGAGCGGGAGGTGGCCTAGGAGAGTGGCAGCAGAAGCGAAAGGAGCAATTAGCCACCGACCAAACATTGGGGCGGGATACCGCACCTATCGCATGCGCGCGAATCACTGGGTTGCGGTGAAAGAAGCCGCGGGAAGCTGGGGACTTGAGCGAGTGCACTGCGCATCCACATGTTCTCAAAAGACCAAACGCCGCTCGATTAGCCGGAAAACAACACGCCAAGCATCGGCAAACGGCAAAACGAAAGGTCAAAGATGATCTTGTATGTCAGACTGCGTGCACACGTGCCGATACTACCAAAGTTATCGCATGGAAAAAAACGACAAACTCAATGACCAAAGCACACGCCCACTGCTGCACATCGCCGCTGCCCCGTGTGGCCTTCCAGCCGCAGTGGCCGTGGTCGTAGCTAGGGTCGTAGCAAGCGCCGCCTGCAACCCGAATAGCCCCGGCCAGGGAGCCCATGACCATAGGATTTAGCAACAAGAGCCATGGCCTGGACCAAGAGATGTTACACTAAATCTCTCTCTGCAAGGCTTCCCACGTTCGTTCAAAGTGAACGCCAAAAAGAAAACACAAAACAAAAAAAAAAAAAAAACGAAAAGTGAACGCCAATTAACACACTGCAGCCAATGCAAGGTTCGCTGTGGCAGCCCGAATGCCCCTGGTGACCCCGCGGTGGTACATGTCTTGAACCGGCCTGCTAAGCGCTAATTTCGTTTAAGCGAGTGCATCATGATGTGGTGGATCGGGTGCCACAGCGGCAGCAAAGCGGCCTCCTCGAAAAGCGCATTCAACAAACCTCGCGAGACGTGTCGGCCCTGGCGGGCTCGAGAGGGTCCCATGGTCCTATGGTCCCGTTTCCCATCTGGCAAAATTCTGCATGATTGTCAATGCCACCTGCTGCACCTGTGGTCACGAATGTCGCCCGAGCTGGCTCCTCAACAACAAATGCGTGCTGCGCTGCTACCTGCCCTGCTGCCGAGATTCGCGTAGAATGGTGTTCACAACCAGTGAGGGGAATTGACTCAGTAGGGGCACTACGTCAACCCGCTTTGGGAAAGCGTCCTGGCTAGAACTACTCCATTGTGTCGCGCAGCGCTGAGACCGAACGAGAAGAGGAGGCAGACGAGGACGAAGTGGCGAGTGAGAAACAGAAGGGTAAGGGAGAGAAAGCGAATGCGAAGGAGACGCAGGAGGAGCAAACGGGGCTAGATGAATAAGATCAAGCCGAAGCTGGCGAAACCATCACGCATCGTCATGCGAAAATGCTTGACGCGAAGCCACTCGCCTTCTTTCACACATGCCCTACAATGGCCTGGGTACAAAAACCTGACACGGACAGACAACTTTAAATGCGGCCGAGATCCCTGGACTCAGGCGCTCATGAAAGCAAAGCAAACAACATAACATAATCAGATCGAAAGTCTCCCTGAGTACGAGAAGCGAAACAGCATGGATCTAAGTGGCTAATGCAAGCGACTTCCAACTAAAAGGGATCTCTGTAGGTGAGGTGACGCTCAAGCCTGGAGACTGACCCCAATGGATGCTCTCTCCAGTGGGCGCGTCTCATGGCACCACCCCGTTTACAATGCCCTCAGAGCTGGACAACTGCGCAAGTCCCCGGCGACCTGCACCCTTCCTCCGACGCGCAACGGGTTCGCACGAGCATAGGGGACACAGATCCTGCCCTTGTCGAACGCACTACCCCTCAGAGCCAACAAGTCACTGCCCTCAGAAGGGGCGGCGAAAGAGACCACCCTTGCACGGAGGAGGAGGAGGAGGAGGAGGAGGAGGAGGAGGAAGAGGAAGATGCGAAATACCGCAACACTCCTAGCTCAACTCAAGAGTCACCCGGTAACGGCTTCGGTGTTGGCTGTGTCGATGGACATGGCACTGACGGCGCGGTCTGACTGGTAATCTACCAATGAGAGCGGCAACGGAGAATTGTGGCGATCCTTGAGCCAATGGTTACGGATCGGATGTCGCCTGCCTCTTCTGCTGCACTGCATGGCTCTCACCCGCTCCCAACCGATGAGTCTCCCAAGAATGGTGATCGTCGTTACCTGGGGGGGGAGCGCTTGAGCGAAATTAACGCGTCGGTGCGGTGGTGCGATCTTCACAGTGTGCGCCCGAGCACCAGCATAGGGCATAAGGGGGGGTCCAGGCCACCACCCTTGTACAGTCGATACCGACCGTGGCCCGGAGGAGGGGGGGGAAGGGGGGGGTTGGCCCAGGTTATGGCCGTTACGCGCTAGAAGAGAAACAACCGATCCCCAAATGCCCCTCCAATGTCGACCGTGTCGCAGAGCGTGCTGCTAAACTCCGGGCCAAGGCTGACAAAGATGCGGCCGATCATCGCGTGGAACTCCTTCCCGCGCGAAGAGATCCGTTGGGCGGCCACGCTGCGGCGACAATCTCTACCATTTGATGACGGCAAACTTCCTTCAAGGCAAGGCAGGTTGAGAGCAAAACAGTGCGCTGGTTGCCTTCGAAAACTTTGGTTCCCCAAATAAGCTCAATTGCGCCCATTGTTTCACATGCCCCGGCCCCTCAATCGTCTCTCTCCCCTCCACCTACTCCCTCCTCTCTCTCCGTACTTCGTCCGCTTTTCCATTGTCCCCCCATCCTTCTTCCCATCCTCCCGCCCTCAATTACACGAGGCAGGGGTGGGCCCAAGCCAGATCGGACACCCGCATGCAGGCACCTGCTTGACGACAATACCAAAACCGCTGGATGTACGGGCCTGATGGATCCGCCCCCCATCCTGGAGGATGGGAGAGTGCGTGACCCAGCGGATGCCGGCTCAGAGCCCATGAGATGGGCAGACCGACCCCCGCCAAAATTGACTCCCAGATCCCCTCCCATTCCCCCCATCCCCTCCACTCCGCTCCCAAGGAATCCCCCCCCATGTCACGGCTGCAGCTCGGACCTCAGGCCTCAGACGAGCTCGCCAAGCCACGCACTTCCCGCCCGCCCCGGGTCCGCGCTCGCGGAGCCCGGGTCAGAAAAGATATTCACGTGTGAGGCAAGTCAGGCGCTCGCTGGAGGGCACCGGCAACGCTGTACTCAAATCGGAACGTCCCATGGGGGGACAGGAGCACGCACGTCACGGGGGAAACCAACTAATCACCTTTCATCGGCCAGTGGAGTTGATCTGCATCAAACGCTGTCAAACAACAGGACTTCTTCCTCGCCGATCGGTCGCACAGCTGGCTGACATTGCGCAACCAGTTACAATCGCGGATCGCCAGCATGTCCTAATAATACAGCCACGACTGCAACGTGCCAGCGAGCAATGAGATCGGCCAAGCTTGCACCCTGCTGTCGACAGAAGGAATCAAATCGATGGCAGTGGTGGCGCTCACGGACTCCCAATAATCCGAAAGCCCTTATAACGGCGACGAGGCGACGATCGAAAGCAGTGCCCCGGCACTGCTTTGAACGCGTTCAAAGCAGTGCCCCGGCACTGCTTTGAACGTATGATATGATGATATGATGATGATTATGATTGATGATGATGATGATTTTTCCAGCGTGCACTGTCCGCAACTGCGGCAATCAACATCATGCTCCACTTGCCCGCAACTGCGGCCATCACCAACGCTGCCCCTCGAAGCTCCGCGGAGGGCGCTCGGCAGGTCGCCCGCTCGAGCCCCACTCGACTTCACGCTGAGGAGGCGAGCCCTCAGGGGCATTGTCCGCACCTGCGGCATGATCAGAGGGCCACCACTGCGCGCCATCAGCGCCCCATTCGCTCGAGCTCCAGTCCCACCAGGACCAGCCCTGCCATCTCGTGGCGGGACTGCGCGCCTCCCATGCGCCGCTGCCGCTGGCGTCCCAGGACCCAGCCGCCACTGCGGCACAAGAAGGGGTCGCATCGTCGCCGCTGGCAGCTTGCGGCGGTGGCGTGTTCCCAGCTCGCTCAGCCCCAGCGTCTCTCCCCGCAACTGCGGTTCCCATCTGGGGTCGGACGCCCTTCCCCGCAACTGCGGTGTCCGCGTAGCTGCCCTTCTTGCCGCCCTTCTTGCCGCCCTTCCTGCCGCCCTTCCTGCGTTCCAACCTCGCGGCGAGTCTTTCAGGTGACCTGCGGCACGTATTGTGCGTGAAAGCCACCAGAGGGAAGTGCGCCCCGCGCCTCGCCCTGCCGAAGGCGCCATGCCATATCTTGTCGTCGAGGTTGCCCTGCTTCACTCTGAAGGGATGGCGCACCCAATCGTCGCGTTCCCTGCGCGCCATCCTTTGCTCGAACTCCGCAACTGCGGTCAAGGATTCGCCAGATGGCGTCAGGAAGGCGCGCATCTTGTTTTCAACGGGCTCATCCTTGGGCACGTAAGTCTGAAGCATCTTCCCAGGGCCATTCGTGTAGTCGAAGACAGGGAAAGACGGATCATGCTGGGTCGTCAAGAATCCGCCCTCACGGTCGCGCAGAACACCCAGGCCATGGTGAAGCTTGTACTGCCCAGGACAGTTTATGAACAAAATCGCCATGCTGTCTGCCCTGGGCTGGCCGCCTGCTGTCTTCCAGGGGGTCCACGCGGCGACGTCCACAGTCAGGCCGCAATTGCTGCACCAGGACACAAGCTGGAACATGCACATGTTGAAGTCCCCCATGCAGACCTTCACGTCCCATTCCCTGACGTAGGCGACGAACCAGTTGTAGAACTCATGGAGCTTCGTGACGCCCCAGTCTTGGTTGGCCAAGCTGTGGTGGACGTGCACCGCCATGACGTTGAAGGAGCCCCCCAAATGGGTCACGGCCTGGCCCAGGTGGACGCGCACCACCATCGCCCTGGAGTACTTGTTGTGCAGCTTTGGCGCAGGAGCCTCCGCAACTGCGGACGGTTTCTTCTTCTTCTTCTTCGTTTTGGACTTCTCCTGCTTGTGGAAGAGTCTCGCAAAGTCTACGTGTTCAATGTGGCCGCCACTGCGGTCCCTCATGCCAACAAGGAGGGTCCCTGATGGTTCGCCGCCCTTAACGCACAGGTAGTTGTATTGAGTCCGACTCCGAAACCTATCGTCCGCAACTGCGGCTGCACTGTCCCTCGCGTCGTGCTCCCCACTGAGTACCGCGCAGGTCTCGTCGTCGCACTCGCAGAGGGCGATGATCTGGGCAGGGTACGCGCGGAGCTGCGCCCACTCGTCCGCGCGTTGCGTGGGTCTAGCTGCAGTCCCTCCGAAGTTGGCCACGTAGAAGCCGACCCGTCCCGCTTCGAACTCCGTTTTCTCCTCCATGCGTCGACAAGAGCTCTTTGTTTTTCCGACAGATTGCTTGTCTCGATGATGGGCACCCGTTTCCAGGTTCTCCGCGACGACAACACTCTCGGCATGTAGGAGTCATGTGCTGCCGCAACTGCGGCTCCCGCACCTCCCCGGGACTCAGCCTCGTCAGCGGAGGCAGCCGAGGACGCGACGGTGTTGTCGCCATCTTGCGTCCGCTGGTCGTCGTCATCATCCGCAACTGCGGCTTCCTCGTCTTTGCCTCCCTCCTCCTCCTCAGCGTTGTGGATGAACACCGTTCTGGCGAATCGAGGTCCCCGGTCCATACTCCCTGAGGATGCGCTCGGGCGCGCGGGCGGCCACATGCTTGCGTCTTCGCGTGCGCCACCTCGAGCCACGGTGGCTACGGAAATGGATCGTGAATGGGCATGGGGTCGGATGGAGGGAGGAGACAAAGAGGATTCGAAGAGTGGCAGAAGGAGGGCGAGGACTCAAAGGAACCGAAAGAACAACAAATGGACTGGCGGAGAAGCAGAAGGAGGGCGACGATTGCAAGGGACTGTGAAAGGATTATTTTCACAGCAGCAGGAATACCGCAACTGCGGTTTTGCCTCATCTCCTGCCCGCGCGGGAGCCGCTTGGAAAAACAACTTCCCTCTGGACTTCCTGTGGGTCCGCAACTGCGGCCTGCATCACGCTAGGGCTGGGATTACCAGCGCCCTTTGCCCTCCCAGGGTTCTCACTGTTTCCGAATGCACGAACTGCGACAGCGCCGAACGGTTCCCTGACGCCGCGTCGTTCGCGACTTTTTGCAGCCACCCAGCAAACGTGAGCGGCCATTGCTCCTTGTGCTGCTTGCACATCTCCTCGTCCCAATGCGTCTTGAACCATGCCCACTCCCCCCTCTGCTCGTCTGAGAGGACGCCTTTTCCGCGAGCCAGGCGATCAGAGCTGCCATCCTGTTTTTCTTGATCTTGAACTCCTCGGGATTCCACTGCGCTAGGGCGTGTTTGTTAGCCAAAGCCGTTTCCACCGCAACTGCGGCCTCCTTCTTTGCCCTCAAGGCGGCCTCGGCCTCTCGAATCTGCTTCTTGAGATCGTGCAAAGCCTTCGTCCTGTCGTTCGCTTCCAGAGCCAGGCGCCGCTTTTTCGCCACCACTGCGGCTTCGTGGTCTCGCTGGGCAGTCAACGCTCGTAGGACCTCGTTGTCCTCCCGCGCCAGCTCTCTCAACCGCTTCTTTTGTTTGTGTCGTTGCTGTCGGCAATCCTGCGCTAGTTTCTCCATGCCCACTTGGCGCAGCATATCTTTCGCCTCGCGGAGCGTTTCTGTCAAGGACGTCGCCACTGCCACCTGCTCGGCCGCCTCTGCGTCGACCACGCAGTCCATGGATACCGAGGATCCTTGAGGCCCAGGTGCCGCAACTGCGGCATCGCACTGTTCCGCAAGAGCCTCGGCCCACGAGGCCTCCTCTTGCTCTTCGTCCTCCTCGTGCTCCTCGTGCACCTCCTCCTCCTCCTCCTCCTCCTCCTCCCCGCCCTCCTCATCGCCCTCCTCGTGGCCTGGCTCCTGGCCTAGCGCTTCGTCGCCGAGCTTCTCCAACACGGAATCTGTGGCGTCGTGTTTCTCGTATTCGTGTATGAGACGCAGCACGTCATTGTAGGACCATTTCAAACGTTTCTGCTCGCATTCTTCCCTCACCTCCGCGACTGCGGTGTACACTTTTGCTCGCAGCCCCCCTGCTTCCCAGAGTTCCGCCGCCTCTCGGCAAATCTCGAGATCTCCTGACTTGTCGAAGGGCGCTCGAATTCCCACTTTCAGGAAACCTTTCGCGGCGTCCAAGTGCAACTGCACATTCTCCAACACTGACAGCATCAAGTCGGCGCAATCGGAACGCCGCAACTGCGGCACGTGCTTCCCCAACGCCATGTGCTGCACCAGCGCTTTGGTCTCGAGGGCAATGTACCGGCGCTTCACGTGCTGGTTCAAGTCCGTGTCCACGGGCTGCGCAACTGCGGTCGTCCCCCCGCCGTGAATGATCAGCACGTAGCCGCGCTGCCAGGCGAGTCTCCGCACAGCGTCTGCTTTGTGCGGGTAATGGTCGTCGGCCATGAGGATGCGCCACTTTCCCCGCAACTGCGGGTCGTCGGGCC